CATACATATACGCACGTCACACATACATACATGTACAATACACACATGAATGTACATACACATATACACATGTACACACAAATATACATATGTATACACATACATACATATACACATGTATGTAGCCACACACACACACTCATACACGAATGTTGGTACAGGAAATGGAGAGTCACTGACTTTAGCTGTTACATAACAGCCAGTTTAATAAAATGGAAGTGAGTTGGACTACAGGGCAGTAGGCAACCCTTCGATGGATGCTGTGGCCTGCAAGGCTAGCCTGGACTACATAGCAAGACCCTGCCTGAAGCAACAACCGAAACTGTTCCTGCAGAATGACCACAGCCACAGCCTCTAAGACACTCTACTGAGAGTGAAGGCCCCAGGACGGGCTAAGGAGGTGGCTCCGTGGGGAAAGAGCTTGCAAGACACACATTAGGACCTGGGCTCAGTCTTCAGAAAGTATAGTAACAACCTCCTGTAGCACTGCCCTGGGAAGGAGGGCAATGATCCTGGCTGGGAGCCAGCCCAGCCTACATGGCAGTTCCGGGCCAATGAGAGAGTGAATGGCCCCTGAGGCAGGACACTGGTCCTCTGTCTTCACTCACATGTGCACACCTGCAAACGTGAGTGTGGACACACACACAACAGGAACACATGATGGTTCTTAAGTTGCTTGATTTAATGGATTTAGTCAATTGATTAAGTCTCTTTTTTGCAGTGTGTGGGCCTCCCACATGACAGGCAAGTGCTCTCACTTTTGGGGACAGGATCTCTCCTGGTTGCCCAGATGAACCTTAAACCTCAAGTTCACTCTGTGATTCAGGCCAACCTTGAACTTGTTCTCCTGGCTCAGCCTCCAGAGTAGCAAATGTCTGGAATTACAGGACAACAGTACCAAGCCCCGACTTCCATTTTATGTTTTTAACACAGGGGACTCAAGCGGGAATGACAACTCACACATCTAATCCCAGCACTCAAGAAGCTAGGGCAGAGCCTGGCATGGTGGCTCACGCCTTTAATAACATCACTCAGGAGGCAGAGGCAGGCAGATCTCTGTGAGTTTGAGGCCAGCCTGGTCTACAGAGCGAGTTCCAGGGCAGCCTCCAAAACAACACAGAGAAACCCTGTTTGGAAAAACAAAACAAAACAAAACAAAACAAAAAAGCTAGGGCAGGAAAACCAGGAACTCAAGGCCAGCCTGGGGTACATAAGACCATGTCTCTAAAACAGAAAAGCCGAGGATTATGGTGGTGGGCACTTGTAATTCTAGCCCTAGGGAGGTGGGGGCAGGAGGATCAGAAGTTCAAGGACATCTTCAGCTACATTGCAAGTTTGAGGCCTGCCTGGGCTACATGAAACCTATCTCAAGGTCTTTAGATGTTTTCCAAGCTGGCCTTGAACTCCTGGACTCAAGTGAGCCTCCCAAGAAGCTGGACTGCCTTGTGTGGCCTGGTGACCAGCTAGTGTAATTTTGACTGTGTAGGATGTCCCTAACACCGTGATGAAATGAAACATGATTAAAATAAATAGATGAGGCCAGAAAGAAGCCCCGAATAACTGCAAACCAAGCTGAAATGCTTCTTCTTGGTACGCATACATACATGCAGGCAAATACCCATAAATATAAAATAAAATAAATAAACCTTTACAAAAAAATTCAAGGCAAGCGTTAGGCTCCAACTTCACCTTGGAATTCTGTGACCTCTAGCTTGAATCACACTGAGAGGGTGTTCAGGGACCTGAGCAACAGTGAGCCACCACAGGCTGACAGTCTTCCAGGTTTAACAGCAACTGGTCACCCCCAGGGGCTGAGCGTCCTAGGGTACTCACCAATCACAAGGTTCTGTGCTGGGCGGTAGCTCAGTTTCAGCAACGTCATCTTCTCAAGCTCATAAGCCATGGGGAGCATTTGATGGAACTTGAGTGCAAGTTCAGAGGTCACAGGAAGGCCCTGAGACAGCCAGCTTCAGCGTGGCATCCTCTTCCTATCACTTTTACTGCCCAGTGTTTGCTGAGTTTGTTCTGTGATATCACGGGGCTCCTCCAGGGGCCGCTGTCCCATTCTGCACTGGGCAAATACCTGCTGATGGTAGGAGCCCTGTCACCATAGAAGACAAATAGACAAATGGCATGCTCCCCAGTGCCTGCTCTGACTCTGTCCTCTGGTTCCCAGCATAACCAGATGGCACGGTGTTTTCCTGTGGGGGAGTCCCATCGGGGTGGGACCCATGCTGACACCGAGTGCTCAGTCTACCCTGTCTTTCACACTTCTATGAGCCTGGTTAGTTTCTCTTCCTAACAAAGAGAGAGTTAGTATAGAAACAGCAGCCCTAGGCTTAGGTCCCTCCCTGCACACACAGAATCTAGGAGAAATCAAGTGGACCAGAATTATATCTGCTATGGACACGCTCCCTTTGTACGTGTATTCATTTATTGTGCTGCGTGTGTGTGTGTGTGTGTGTGTGTGTGTGTGTGTGTGTGTGCATGTGTGTATGTATATATGTGTGCACATGTGTATCTATCTGAATGCTACAGTGTGCATTCAGAAGTCAGGATCAGTTCTTACAGGTCCTGGGGATTGAACTCAGGTCACTGGGTTTGGTGGTGAGTACCTTTATCCACTGAGCCATCTGTGGGTTCCTATCTTTAATATTTTAAAGTTTAAAAATGGATCCACCTAGCCGGGCGTCGGTGGCTCACGCCTTTAATCCCAGCCCTTGGGAGGCAGAAGCAAATGGATCTCTGTGAGTTTGAGACCAGCCTGGTCTACAAGAGCTAATTCCAGGACAGCCTCCAAAGCCACAGAGAAACCCTGTCTAAAAAATTTTAAAAAGCCGGGCATTGGTGGCACACACCTTTAATCCCAGTACTCGGGAGGCAGGGGCAGGTGGATCTCTGTGAGTTCGAGGCCAGCCTGGTCTCCAGAGCGAGTGCTAGGATAGGCTCCAAAGCTACACAGAGAAACCCTGTCTCGGAAAAAAAAAAAAAAAAATAGCTTAGGCTGTCTCCATCCAGCTCTTCCAACTTAAATCAACCCATTTCTGTCCATCTGTGTGCTGCCCCGAGGAGGCACCTTTACCTTATCTGTGAACTTCCCATGTTGCTTCTTCCCTGTCTGGCTCAAGACCCCTCAGACCCTGCCCTTCTTCCCAGCGTCCCCTCTGTCCCCACACTCCCGCCTAGCTATCAGCCCATCAGCTTTTTATTAACAATGAGAGCAACACATTTTCACAGTGTGCAGAAGTATTATTCCATAGCACAAGGTCTCTCTACATGGTCCTAGAACTCACTCTACAGAAAAAAACTGGCCTCCTCTAACTCACAGAAATCCACCTGCCTCTGTCTCCCAAGAGCTGGGATTAAAGGCCTGCACCCCATGCCCAGCTGAAACAGCCACTTTTTTGGGGTGGGGGGCACCAACCAGCTCCCAAATCCTGACATGGGGACTTATTATTAATTTTGAATTCTCAGACTAGCTTAGGCTCATTTTTGGCTAGCTATTTTAACTTAAATTAACCTACTACTCTTTATGTACCTTCTGCCTTGGGCTTTTCACTTGTCTTTCCTGCTGTATATCTTACTCTGACTGCTTCTCCTGTCTGCTGGATGGTGGCTCCCTCATTCTTTCCTCCTCCTCCTTCCTATTCTTTCTTTTCTTTCTTGAGCCTAGATTTCTCCTCCTATTTATTCTCTCAGCCTGGCAGCCCTGTCTATCCCTCTCCTGACAGGCTATTGGCTTTTCAGCTTTTTATTAGACCAATCAGGTCAGGTGCCTTAGGTAGGCAAGATAAAACAAATGCAATACATCTTTACATAGTTAAACAAATGCTACATAAACAAAAGTAATACATCTTTACACAGTTAAAGTAGTATACTAGAGCAAAATCAAATATAACATGTTCTTACATAATTAAAATAATATTCTACAATATTTTTATTTCATTTTTAAATTTTTATTTACTCATGTATCTTATGTAGATGGGCACTTTGCCTGCATGTACACCTGCACACCAGAAGAGGGCATCAGAGAGTTGTGAGCTGCCAGGTGAGCAGTAAGAATTGAACTCAGGACCTTCGTAAGAACAGTGAGTGCTCTTAACCACTGAGCTATCTCTCCAACCCAACAGCCATTTTTAATAGACTTATTTGTGGGATAAAATAGAAGAAGCAAGCATGACAAAATGTCAACAATTGGTGCACCAATGGCCTATGGTTATTTTGTTTGTTTGTTTGTTTTTTGAGACAGGGTTTCTCTGTGGCTTTGGAGGCTGTCCTGGAACTCACTCTGTAGACCATGCTGGTCTCGAACTCACAGAGATCCACCTGCTTCTGCCTCCCGAGTGCAAAGGCGTGCGCCACCAACGCCCGGCAGTCTATGGGTATTTTAAATACTATCCTTTCAACTTCCTTTAGGCTTTAAATTTGTCAAAATAAAATTGGAAGTGGCGTGTAGAGGCACACACCTGTGATTCCGCACGTGGGCCATGGAGGGGGCACAGCGGCAGGACCATCAGAAGCTTCAGGCCAGCTGTGTGGGGGTTTTTGCTGTTTTTTTTTTGTTTGTTTGCTTTGTTTTTTGTTTTGTTTTGTTTTTCGAGACAGGTTTTCTTTGTGTAGCTTTGGAGCCTATCCTGGAACTCGCTCTGGAGACCAGGCTGGCGTAGAACTCACAGAGATCGCCTGCCTCTGCCTCCCGAGTGCTGGGATTAAAGGTGTGCCAACGCCCAGCGTTTTGTTGTTGTTGTTGTTTTGTTTTTTTGGTTTTTTTTTTTTTTTTTGGTTTTTTTTTCCATCTGTGTGGTTTGAATGGCAACGGTAACGAAAGGGAGCAGCACCAATGGGAGGTGTGGCCTTATTGGGGTGGGTGTGGTCTTGTTGGAGAAAGCAGGCGGGCTCTGAGGGCTCTTCTATGCTCAAGCCAGGCGCAGTGAGACAGGCCATTTCCTGTTGCCTGTGAGTCAAGGTTTAAGAACTCCCAGCTCCTTCTCCAGCACCATGTCAGTCTGCCTGCTGCCTTGCTGCCGGCCATGACAGTAATGGACTAAACCTCTGAAACTGTAAGTCAGCCCCAATTAAATGTTTTCCTTTATAAGAGTTTCCTTTATAAGTGATCATGGTGTCTCTTCACAGCAATCGAAACTCTAAGACACCAGCTTTGACTACCTGAGATCTGGTCTCAAAACACCAAAAGGGCTGGAGAAATGACTCATTGTTTAAGAGCACTTGCTCTTGTAGAGGACAGAGGTTTGGTTCCCAGCGCTCACATGCCAGCTCACAACTGCCCATAACTCCAGTTCTAGGGGATCTGACGCCCTCTTCTGGCCTCTGGAGGCACCTGCACACACCTGATGCACAGACACACATTCAGGCCAACACATTTACACACATATGCCTCCCGAGCACCACCGTTGTCTGGCATAAAATAAATCTTTTTTACAAACACAAAGTAACAAATTAACTATGCAGGGCAGTGGTGGCACACGCCTTTAATCCCAGCGCTCAGGACACAGAGACAGGCAGAGACAGGAGGCCAGACTTTATTTATTGAACAAGTTCCAAGACACCCTCCAAAGTTACAGAGAAATCCTGTCTCAAAAAAACAAACAAAAAAAATTAACTAGGAAATGTAATTAGCCGGGCGTTGGTGGCACATGCCTTTAATCCCAGCACTCGGGAGGCAGAGGCAGGCAGATCTCTGTGAGTTCTAGGCCAGCCTGGTCTCCAGAGCGAGTGCCAGGATAGGCTCCAAAGCTACACAGAGAAACCCTGTCTTGAAAAACCAAAAAAAAAAAAAAAGAAAGAAAAGGAAATGTAATTAATTAATAAATATACATCACCATTACCATCCCTTAATATTGCCTTTTTTCTCACCTCCCCACAGCTGAGAGGAGAAAACTTTATTGTCAAAAGCCCTGGCATTGTCCCTTGCCTAATTCATGTGGGAAAGCTGGATAGAAACATGGTGACCGGGTTAGCTTGAGCTCTTTGCAGTTTATCCCTGTCCTGAGAATGACAAAGACATCAGAGTGTGAAAAGGACCTCTGTGGGGGAGGGCCTGGGAGACAGTGATCAGGGGGGAAACCCTTATCAATGGCAGCTACTTTCAGCTCTGACCACGTCAGGTTACCTGGTCCTCCCTGGAGATAAATGTTCTAATGCATCAGCCCCTGTCATCTCTGTGCTCTCTCATCTGACCCCTCTGGAGCCTCACTCCAGGCCCTTCTGACGTGCTCCTCCCCCATGACAAACTGACTGCCATCCTGGAGGCCGGAGGCTCTGCTGAGCTGAGAAAGCCTTTGGATTGATTGACAAAGTCCATCTCTGGCTTGGACCAGAAGCTTCAGTTTAGCAGAGCAATGAAGCAGCCTTGAAATCTGGGAACCTTATCAGTCAGGGGGCAATTAACCGAGGTCGAGGCCTGAGAAGCCCCATGATGCCCCCACCCCAACTCTTACTAGAGTTAAATCTCTGCAGAAGCCAAGTCCACTTAAGTAAACTGTTTGCACACACAACCACCCATGGGACTTCTCTAGAGGCGTCTGGAGGGCCTGTGTTTCTCCACGTGGTGACTGTCATCTCCCTGACATTCCACGGAGAGTGAGCCTTGCATTCCGGAGATGACTCTGCCAGCTGAGGAATCTGAATGGCCCCTGGTGTGCAGGACTTCTGTAAGAGATCTGAGTTTCTGACGAGAGGCTCAGCTGCATCTTTCATGATCAGTGCGACACTTCTGTTGTGTCCCCACCACCACCATGAATGCCTGTCTTTGCCACAGATTTCTAGTAAACCACTCAAATATGCACGGCCTAAATTGAACTCTGATGGTGGGGCGCTTGCTCCCAGGCCCTTCTTCAAAGCCTGCTGGTTTATGTGGTTCTGGAAACAACAGGCCAGTGCACAGTTTATTTGGATTGGCTGGTTTCAGGCTTCTCGGAATCTGCCTTGGGGTGGGGGGGGGGGGGAAACCTGCCTGTGTTTAGATTTTTAATTTATTTCCCAAG